TGAGCCATCACAACCACTGTCAAACTTTCCATCTAATATAAAAATTCACTGCTTCCTAAACAGTGATTCCCCTTTGTTCCTCCCTCCCATACTAGTAACCACTAAAACCTCGTGTCAATACATTTGTCTACTTTAGGTATTTCACACAAATGAAGTCATACATTGCCTTTTTGTGACTGATTTATTTTACCTTGGGGGCACAGTGGGTTACTCGATGCCCTGCTAACCGAAAGGCCAGCAGTTTGAAACCACTAGCTGCTTTTCAGGAGAAAGATGAGGTTTTTTACTCCATCAAAGTTAGTCTCAGAAATCCATAGGGGTAGTTCTATCCTATGCTAGCAGGTCACTATAAGCAGAATTGACTCAATGGCAGTGAGAGTAAATGTTTTCAAAAGTCACCTATAAGATGCATCAGAATCTTCTTTCTCTTCATGGCGGAGCAGGACTCCATGGTACACATATGCATGTACCAGATTGTTTACCTATTCACCTTTGGATGGAAATTTGAGTTTTCACCTTTTGGGCATTGTTAATGAAGCCACAAAGAACACTGGTGTCCATCTGTCTGTCTGTACCTTTGTTTCAAGTCTCTTGAGCACATACCTTTGAGTAGAATTTCTACTATCCCGTACCCCCACCAGCAGTTCCCATTTTTCTATATCCTTACCAATATTTATTATTTTCCTGAAATCTACACCTTTAAATGCTCACTTACCTGCTTATGCTGATTCTAGAGAAATACAAGGCTCTCTACTCCGTAAAAAATTAGTCTCAGAAACTCACCAGGGAGGCAGGTCTACCCTGCCCTACAGGGTTGTAACAAGTTAGAATTGATCTGACAGTAGTTTGGTTTTTTGGCTGTTTTTTTTTTTTTGAGTAGGAGTAGTTACACAGGAGGGAGGGAAAACAAGTTCTCAAGAGCTGCCAGAGAAAGAATTTCTGTAGCCTCCACTTAGAACAGTGGCTCTCAACCTTCCTAATGCCGCGACCCTTTGATACAGTTCCCAGTGTTGTAGTGACCCCCCAACCATAAGATTATTTTTGTTGCTACTTCCTAACTGTAATTTTGTTACTGTTATGAATCAGGCAACCCCCGTGAAAGGGTCGTTCAACCCCCAAAGGGGTCGTGACACACTGGTTGAGAACCACTAACTTAGAAAGTAGTAACATGTAGTTTGCATATAAATATGTACACACAAGCACACACAGAGACTAATGGTAGTTAACATGCTTATGATACAGATGTGAGTTAGTTGTAAATTCTGACACCAACTCTTTTTCTACTGTTGAACTTTTTAAAAGAACTTGTCATATCATGCTAGGCATATCTCACACTAAGTAACTCGATTGCCTCAAAACAAAATCTAATCATTCCTAGACAATTTCCATTAAGTAGGCCAATTATTAAAATAATCTCTTTAGCTTTTCATATAATCTTGCAAATTTTAGATCTTTCAAAACCAAATCAACTTCTGATTTAAATGACAATACAAAAACAATTCATTCACTCTTAACTTTTCAAAACAGTAATAGGTTCATCATATCAAATTTCTAAGATTTCTACTAGATTCTTTTATAGAAACTCCAAGTTATTCTAATTCATTTTAATAAGTCACTTACTGGTGATAGATACCCTCTTCTGGCCTCTCAATTAATTACATGATGCCACCACTTGGATGACCCACCTTTGTGTGGAAATGTTTGAAGTCTCCCAGGCCCCAGAGGTCAAGAGCAGCATGCCCTTGCAAGTTGGGACAGGGCAGGGGACACCAACACTCTGGAAGACTCTCTTTCTCTGGGTGAGCTAATTATGATATGGAGGTGAAACTTGAAAAGCTGGTCTCAGAAGGACCGTACGAGTAAATGGCTCACGCCAAAGTCATTTACTACTACACACCCAGCATCACGTTCAGATAGCATTTATCTAGAGGAACTTGAGGAATGAATTTACCTTCATAACATTCCTCTGAGGAGGGATCCTCTGCCAGCCTTCATGCCAATCCTCAGACTGCTGGCACTTTCTCAGCACTCCATACACATCTCTACTCCTGCCCTTAGCAAGCTGACATCTAGTGCCCACAAGCTCCGGCCCACCTGACAACAGAGATCAGGCCCCATCTGCCATTGCGGTAGTCCCCAGAGGGTGATAGCACACCCCATACAACAAACCTACCTGGAAAGGAAAAGGCAAGGCAGAGGGTTTTGCTTGGTTGGTTGTTTTGGGGGACTATCATAGTAGACAATGATGAAAGAGGTTTTCTTAAGGTGTCTTAATTTATTAATTAAAATGTATTGAACCAAACACTAACGGCTACATATGGAGGAAACAAAAGTCCATCTGCTCAGCAGTAGTGGTGTTAGAAAGCTGTGTGTCTGTGCGTTTGGTTGTGAAGTGGACAAAGGAGTATGCGCAAACCATCTGGTCTTGCTTCTGGGTTTCTTCTCATTTCCACACACTCTATACCAGCGGTTCTCAACCTGTGGGTCGCGACCCCTTTTGGGGGGGGGGTGTTGAAGACCCTTTCACAGAGGTCGCCTTAGACACATATTTGGCAATGGTCTTAGGAACCAAGATACCAATCGATTAGAAACAAATATTTCACAATATATAATTATATATTGTTTTTGTGATTAATCACTATGCTTTATGTTCACTTTGTAACAATGAAAATACATCCTGAATATCAGATATTTACATTACGATTCATAACAGTATCAAAATTACAGTTATGAAGTAGCAAAAAAAAAATTTATGGTTGGGAGTCACCACAATATGACGAACTGTATTAAAGGATCTCGGCATTAGGAAGGTTGAGAAACACTGCCCTATATAATCATGCTGGATTAATTTTACTTTTTTTATGCCAATGCCTTTACCCAGAAGCCTTTACAGTTCCAGATGCCTATAGCCCAGAGTCCCCGTAGCCATATAGTCCTGCAGAATCCATGCCCTATGTCCTCTATTGAACTTTTCTCACAATGTGAGCTGTGCTACTTGAGAAACTTCACTTTGCCTCTTCTCCACTGCTCAAAGCACCCACTCACCCAGGCTCTCACAGTAACCGGCCTTCCTTTCATCCCATAATACTACATTATCTCTCATTTTCATGTACTTAAGTTTAGATCCATGAAAGAGGGACAATTCCAAATTGTTTTTAACCCGACTTTTCTTAGATGAGGAATGAAAATTACAGTTATTAGCTTCATTTGATGATGCAATAATAAAGTGTACTCTATATACTTCAGGATGATATATTTGAAATATAGGTATATTTATACAACTGAATTTTGATATTATGGCCTCAAGGCTAACCTTTTTTAAAGAGAAATAAACTGTACAGAGTACAAATATTTTCACAACCACCTATTTTAATAAAAAAGTATGTAAGGTCTATGAGCTGGAACTGACTCAATGGCATCTGAATATCACCACCACCGAAAAGAATCACAGTCTCAAAGACAAATTAAAAAAAATAAAACAAAAGTTCGAGGTTTAATATTCCAGTGACACTTTAAAATATAGAAATCTTAAATGTAATACTGTGTTGTTACATCACAAACAGTTTATCTCAAAACTGTGAAGCATTATGGAACTCCCTTAGTTACAAAGCAGTCAAGAGTTCTGAATATCAGCAAGTAAAATGTAGTCCGGTTGCCTTCTGAGCACAAGAATGAGAAAATAATTTCCAATCAGACCAGTCAGGGCTCTCCAAACCTTGTATAAGTATACGGAATGATACCTTTGAGTCTGTATTTTAAATCTAAACACCTATTACTGAAAGCAAAACTAGTTACAGTGTTTCTTGGAACTTACCTGGGGAAATCCTTAATCGTTATTACTGAAATGAATGCCCTTTACTTCGACAAGCCATCCCACTGGGGCACCCCCTTAGTTTCAAGTTTTTTTTCCATAGAAACTGTTAGTTATAACGACCTAAAAAAACCCAAGGTCAAGCCCTGCACACCACACTCCATTAAAAAATTGCTATTGCAGTTTCAGCTTTAGGTCTTGAGGATCCGCTATTTCCTGACCTGGAGGGCTAGTGTTTTCTCATGTCCTACCTTCACTGACCTGGCTAATTACTCACACTCTGGTGAGTACTGCCTACTGTAAATCCAAGACTTTCTACTCCTGTAAAGAGAGTGTCAGAAACCCACAGATGTAGTTCCTTCTCCCGACTGGAAGGCAGTGGGGTGATCTGAAGACCCAGGTCATTGATAGAAGTCCCCCTGCCTCCATGTCTAACTAAAACAAGAATTTCTGGTCTTGTCTTGGTGTTAATAAGGTCCAGAGGTAATTTGTAAACTTGATTATTTCAATTTTCATCAGATGGGTTCAATATTTGGAAATAAGCCCCGTTTTGTGGAAATACTTCCAAGGTAAATCGAGCTGATAAAAACTTACTTGGCCTGGGCATTCTATTTTTACAGCACCGTCTGCTTTCCTGTGGGCACTCCCCTTTTCCTCGGTAAGTAATGTCTGCGGTCAGGAGTTGCCCTGAGTCTACCGGGCTCCACTGGGCAAAGCTTCCCTCGGACCCGAGGGCCAGCCGCATACAAAGATGCCCTACGACCAGCTTCCCAGCCTCCCTTCACCCCTGGGCCCCGGAGGGGAGGGCCACGGGCGCTGGTGCTGGAGAGGATCTGGGACCGAAAGGCTCAAGGGCACGTCGGCGAGAAGACCAGGTGCAAGCCTCCGCTTGCTTTGGGAAAGGTATCCGATATGTCCGCCCCGTCTCCCTCTCCCCGCCCCCCCCCAATTTCACCCCAAGGCCCAAATGCGAGGGTGCCCAGGGACACGCAGCTGGGGACTTGGGCAGAGAGGGCGCCCGGAATCAGGGGGCAGGTCAGGGTGGGGGAAGGGAAGAGCGTCAGTCCTGGGGAGCTGGGAGACAGAGCGCCCAAGGCAAGGGGCCAGGGGCCGTCCAGGAGGGTGGGAAGCCGCGGTCCTGGAGGAACTGTGCGGGCCCAGCGAGCTTGGGAGGTGGCGGCGTCCTTACCCACGGTGGACTTGCAGGCCTCGCAGAAGGTGTCGTCGGTGAAGCGCTCCATCAAGCTGGTCTTGCCCACGCCGCGGGAGCCGATGATGATGACCTGCAGCTTGAAGTCGGCGGGCCGGGGGGTCTGCTTCCTTCGGCGGGCC